CGGCCTGCGACCCGCTGCATTGTGCTTTCAATCCGACTAGCTGCCCATAACCTCAGCACGTACTGCAAAAATGGCAACACCCACGCCCTCCAAAGACAAGGAGACGCCTTCCAAGAACCCCAACGCATTCTCCCCTGCACCGCGCAGCGTCCCACCTACCGGAAACATCCACATGATGTCCTACGACTCACCCGCAGTATTGAACATGCTCAACGATGTTGCGAACTCAGGTATGGGAGGCGTCGGCATGGGCATAAGCATGAGTGGATTAGGCATGTCTAATTTGGGCATGACGGCAAGCGCAACAGGGCGCGCAGACGAGGCAGAGAGGAGTCGGAGGCTCCGAGAGATAATAGACATTGTAGGGAAGAAGCCTGGACGCGTCAGTGAAGAGGGTCTGCTTGCGCTTTGCGACAGAATAGGCATATCGTATGAAAAGCATATGGATGATGCAGGTACATGGAGTCTTTTAATTGGCGACGAGGCCCTTTGCGACGTCACCTTCAAGAACGATGAGATTGTCAGTGTGAATTTACAGACCGGGCTAGACGACTCAAGACCCGACTTGAACTTTGGAGCTGCAGGGTCGGAGATTCTGGTGCGAAGTCTGAAGCCTCTTCCAGGCCAAAGCAAGTTCAACGTGACGCTTGAGCGCTTCTCAGAAAACTTGGAGAAGCTTTTGGCACTTGACAAATTGGGCTCCTCGCAGAACGGGGGCATTAGTTGCTACAACGCGATTGCAGGCATCTACACAAGCCTTCGGAAGCTGTTTGACCACGAGAAGAAGCTTGAGCTTGCAAAACGGGCACCAGACGAGCGGTACAGGATATACAAGGCAGAGAGGGAGGTACTGTGTAAGAAGAGCGGGCGGCCTCGGTTTAATGGCGGATCGTGTCTTGGGTTAAGTCTGGAATACTGGATGGACTCGCGGTGGGTGATTCCGAAGACTGCGCCTGAAGTACAGGAAAAAGGCAAAGAAAAGATGGATGCCAGCTCGCAAGAGTCCCCTTCATATCCCGAAGACGACTACTGGAGTAACAATAAGATGTACTCGCTGACTATCGAATGCGAAGCGTCGCCCTCGACTCTCTATACCCCCATCCGCATATCGAACGAGTGGATCAGCGACCAGGTCGAAAAGTCCATGGATAACAACGATGTCAGTCACTTGGAAAACATGCTCATGAACACGTCTTCCATAGACTGGCTTGAGCCAAAACCGACATATCTCGAGGCACCAGAGCAAACCGATGATGCCATGAACCTTGACTCCGCTGCAGGAAGACTGCCAAATGTACGATTTGTTGCGAAGTTTAACCCCCCGCTCGTCGTACCCTATGCTGTTCATATGCAACTCTACCAAACGGTCGGCATCGAGCCTCGCAACGATGATCTACGGCCGACCACATTTGTTGGACTTGCGCTGAGGCCTGGAGAAGTTGACCCCGGCATGTCTGGCGCAACTGGCGAGTCTACACATGAGATTCGCAGTTCTCACCTGGCACTCTCAAAAGACATTCATGGCAAATACGAACAACATCGTCACAACATGAGTCTCTATGTACCAAAGCTAGAGTACAGTCGTACACTCGAGAGTCTCCCATTCAGCCATCCAAAACAACTCGTGGAAATCCTGCCAGTCCTACGACAGTACGCGCACGTCACCACGCTCCTCCGCAAAAGCTTTTACGAAGCACCACAAAAGCCAATTCCAATACACAAACTGGGCCAGTCCCAAATCCCCAAACCAAAGACCGCCGATTCATCAGAAAACCACCCAACCCTCCAACTCGACGTAACCCTAAATTACACACCCCCAATCCCACGCATAACCCTCCAAGTCCCCCACCCTTCCTCCACCGCCCCCTCGAGCCCCCCCTCAACCACCGCGGACGCAATCTCGGACCTCCTCTCGGACCTGCTCACCCCCAAGCACCAACGGCCAGAAGCGCATCACGTGCCCTTGGCCGTAACCATTGACGTACACGCAAATGGCGATCTCGTCGTCTCAGAGCAAAACATTGTTACTTCGCCTGCTGCTCGCACGCTAAAACGCGAGGCGGAGACGCACATGCAGCATGAGGATGAAGACGGGGCGCAGGAAATGGTGGCGCATCAGGAGAAAGTCAAGAGGTTGGCGGGTGGATTGGATGTAGCTGGGGAATTGGGGGTTTGGGGTGAGTGGTTGAGGAGGGAGGTTGTCAAGGAAGAGAGGGCTGAGGAGGCTTAGAAGGCCTTCTTTTTTTTACGAAGTGCATTGGTAGGAAGAGGAGGGTGGAGTTGAGATGAGGAGGAGTAGTGATAGTTATTATTGTTGTTGTTGTTTGGGTATGCGTAAGACCATCCATCACTTAGTCATAAGAGAACTTTGACCATCAATTAATCAACAGGCTGCTCACATCCCTCCAAGTAGGCTAAAATGTAGCAGTAGCAGTAGCAGCAGCAGTAGTAGTCAAAAATTCATCTTCATTAAATCATTGCATGTCATGCAAAGGTTCCCACAAAAATCGTGATATACCCAATCTACATATATAGATATATCATAGACGGCACCAAACAACTCTCATCATTCGATAAAAATTCTACGAGGCCAAGCCCAAGCCAGACAAACCAGTTCATTTCCATGAACAAGTGCGGCACAACATGTCAAACCCAAAAGTGGTCTAAAAGCGCGAAATAAATTTGGGGGTATGGGGGAGAAAAAAAATTTGAACAACCGAACAGATAGGATAACGAGCAAAAGCCTTTTTTTTTCTTATGGCTTGTTGACCTCGATGACCATCTCCGTCTCGACGGTGTCGGCCTTCTTGGCGAACCTGGCAATGTCGGCACCCTCGACCTTGCCGTACATGGTCTCGGCGATTATGCCGGTGATCTGGTATGGGTCACCGTTGGAGGCGGGACGGCGGTCCTCAAAGTATCCCTTGCCCTCGGCGGCGACGGCGCGGGGAATACGGACAGAGGAGCCACGGTTGGCAACGCCCCAGGTGAACTTGTCGTATGAGGCAGTCTCGTGCTTGCCAGTCATGCGGAGCTGGTTGTCCTGACCGTAGACGGCCATGTGCTCGGCTTGGCGGGTGGAAAGCTTCTCCATGGCGGCCTCGATGGCTTTCATGCCGTTTTCACCACGGGTGTCAACGGTAGAGACGTTGGTGTGGAGACCGGCACCGTTCCAGTCACCAGGGATGGGCTTGGGGGCAAAGGTAACCTTGACACCAAACTCCTCAGCGACGCGGTGGAGAAGGAAGCGCGACATCCAGAGCTGGTCACCAAGGGCAATGCCGGGGCAGGGGCCAACCTGGTACTCCCATTGGGCGGGCATAACCTCGGCATTGGTACCGGAGATGTTGATCTCGGCGTACATGCAGGCCTTGTAGTGGGCCTCGACGATGTCACGGCAAAAGACCTTGCCAGTACCAACACCACAGTAGTAAGGACCCTGGGGGGCAGGGAAGCCGTTCTTGGGCCAGCCATATGGCCAGCCAAACTCGTCGAGGAGAGTGTACTCCTGCTCGAGACCGAACCAGAAGTCGGCCTCCTTGTGCTTCTCAAAGATTATGGCAGCATCGTGGCGGAAGTTGTATGCGTTTGGGGAGCCATCGGACATGTAGGTCTCGCACATGACGAGGACGTTGTCGCCCCGACGGAAGGGGTCGGGAAAGTAGGCAACCGGGCGGAGGTAGACATCAGAGTTCTCGCCGGGCGCCTGACCAGTTGACGAACCGTCAAAGTTCCATTCTGGGAGGTCGGCAAGGCTCTCGACCTTCTTCTTCAGGGTCTGCAACTGATGTCAGGATACATGCGTCTGGTTGAACTGGGCTGCAAGGGCATGGGTGGTGAGTGGGGGCAAGTGGAGGGGTAGACGTCAGAAGTTGCGCAGGTCCTGCCGCGCGCAATCTGTGGCTGGTAGATGGCTTATCGTGGGGTCGCGATAAGGAACGCCATCTGTGCCTGTTGCGACAGCGATTGGCGCAGGATACGTCACACAAGCAGATCACCACGATCGTGACTGTGCAGTTTGTGAACCGCCAAGTGGATCGCAGCCAGTGATTCTCCCGAGGCTGAAAGCCTGCAAGCCGCACACTAGGCTGCATCGCGATGGCGGACCGCAACAAATGCCGCAAAACATGATCGGTTGAGGGAAATGGAAGAGGGGAAGGAAGGAGAAAAAAAGAGAGAGAAAGAACTGACTGACCTTGGACTTTGAGCGAATGCCGTTGGAGCCATCTATCCAGACATACTCGGCCATGACATTTCCCTTTTGGGGGAGGTCAAGGTACTTCTGGAGCTGTTGTGGAATGTTAGAACAAGCCAGAGTGAGGCCAGACGGGGAGCACGCGAGCAGGGTTCAACGTACGTTGGCAGCATTGGAGATGATTGTAGAGTTCGCCTGTAGCATGTGTGAGTAACGGCAGGGATAAACAAAGAGCCCAGGGCAGTGTGTAGAAACATACCATGACTGCGGTTTGTATGTGCGTGGGAAGGGAAGGGAGCAGTAAAAAAAAAGGTCAAACTTGAAGAGGGAGGGAACAGGGAGACGACGTTGTCTTTTGGAAGAAGGGCGTGGAGGAGGGGTTATATGGTGGAAGTGGGGAGAGTGAATGGGGAAGGGAGATAAGGATAGCGGGCTGAGGGTTCAGTTATAAGGTAAGTGTCGTGGAATGGGTTGACCTGTCTCGGCATGTGGCGGGGCTGGGTGTGGTCAGATAGTAACTAGGTTGGCCGTAGCCAAGAGCCGCCGCCGGACTGTATCCGTGGGATGAGGAAGCAATCCGTTTCTCCAACGCGCAACCACAGGCGGCACACCCAGGCATGCTGAGCCCACGCCCACGCACACGCCCGGCCGTGGAGCATCCGCTTACGCCGGCGCGCCGCCCGGCTGGGACACTTGCAGGGCGCTGCCAGCCACAAACACACACATACACAATGTTTATTGCGCGCTGGGTTGCAAAGGCGACGGGCAGCGTAGGGCCGTGTGGAGTGCTTGGAGATGTTTGCCAATGGGTGCGGTTGCGGCCACTGCACTGCATACGAGCGGTTTCGGTTTGGCGCGGCGCTCGGAACGCACAGCCTCAGGTGGTTCCGAGTTTGACCGCGGCGGAGGTGGAAACCGTCGCCTCAGCGTAGCTAAATTTACCCGCTCAACGCCAGCAGGTTGGTCATGGCAGACGACCGGCGCCCAAACAAGAGCCTTTGCATTTGCATTGCACACACCGCTCCACATGTGCTGTTGTTTTTGGCCGTCCGCCATCGGATCCCTCGACACCATCGTCGACGCCGTGTGCCCAACACGAGCAGCGCCGTCCCTGCGTGCAGACGTCTCGCGACACCTGCATATGCTGCTTCTTCTTCTTGTTGCTGGCCAGGGCCCGTTGCCTCCTCTGGCCGGCACTGACGTCGCGGGGGCGATAAGACGCCCGCCCGCCAATGGCAGATGTTACAGTTACTGTGCCTCGTCATGCCAGCAGCACTAAACTCTTTGCCGCGACGTTTCTTGTAGTCAAGTTAATCGTTTTCTCGCGCCCGCCTGGCCGCGATGTGTCCTGGGTGCTGGACGTGCACTGTTCCAGAAGCCCGCTGCTTAGACTACCATGCTCGTACGCTTCAATGGCTCGCTGCTTATTGGACCCGCCTCTGCTCCAGGCACAGACTGAGATATTTCCATGCCGACCCCACAGATTCTCCTGCAGCCCGCTCTTTGCAATACAGTCAGATAGTCAGCTCCACGCCGCCGCCGCCGTCGCCCACCACCCCCGTGAATCCAAGTCCAATGCCCAAAATCCGAATGCGAATCAAAGTCCACCTCTGCCTGAAGCCTCTCCTTCACCCGCCGGCACCCCACGTGCGCCATTAACCACCCCGTCCACCGCGACCATTTGTCCCGACGCAGGCAAAAAAAAAGCCGCATCGCCATATCGGCACCGCAATCTAGTCTGCACGACGTTGGGCCTGGCGGGGTTGCGGGCGTACCGTCGATCTGCCAAGCCTCTCGCCCCTGGCCCGAAAGATAAGGGGAAAAATGGTTTTCCCACTTTACGTCAGGCTATCGAGTAACGCCGCCGGCCTCGTTGACTGACATGTGGCAGCGACACAACACCTATCGTGAACACGCCCACATTGTGTGCAAAAGCGGGTTTGCTCCTCAAAAGATTGGTATAAAAGTCGCCATCCGCCTGGAGTTGGACTTGCGTATCAGCCATCAATGGTATGGCGGTGTCATGTCCGCTTTAGGCAAAGCTGCGGGCCCTTCCATGTGCTGGAAGGGGTTCCAAAAGGCTTGTGTCTTCCCCAGATTATACTTAGATAGCTGCTGATCAAGTCAAGGAGCAGCCGCTGTGGGTGTATGGTTCGCAGCGACCCTTATCAGATGGGGCGCATGGTGCTGGGCAAGCGCTGGCACGTGTGGCCTTGACCGATAGGAAACCAACACCATCCGGGGGTCAAGAAGAGACATATCCGGGCATGGTATCTAGCAGACAATGCCCGGCATGAGCACATCATGGTTTCGTCATGGCCTCGACACCAATCTGATTCCCCAATGAGCCCATGCACTTTCCCGCCCTGCTGTGTTCACTGCGACGCCCATCATGCATACCCAGACACCAACTTTGCACGGCCCCCTTCACTTCCCGCTCTAGGTCATGACTTGCAGCAGCACCCTCTGCCTCTGGTTGGACATCGAGAGCGGCTGTACCTGCAGCAGGCAGCAGACCATGCTGAACGAGAGGGTCGGGGCAAAACGGGAACGACCAAGGATACGACCGACGTTCGGGAGCCGGCTAGGCTTAGGGACCGGCGCCAGTGGCATGGTGCAGGGTAGATCTGGGGTAGACTTTGTTGGGGTGTTTGGTGTTGCTCGCAAGTGCGTCGACATAGTGTCTACTTATGTCCTGTTCCTCGAAGTCCTCAGCTCGAACCAATCATAATCACAACCTGTTCCGCAATAAGTCAGCAAAATGTGCCCGAATATTTATCTGACCCATATATAAGACGGCCTGAAACCTTACATTTGTTTTCTGGTGTCGGGAGACTCTGTTAGTGGTCGTCTCGGCAAGGCCGGGCCAAGCCGTCGCTCGCACAAGTCCCGCGCAACGCCAGTAGAGGTGAGACTTGTGCCAGAGAAACAATGAAGCCTGACAATTGTTTAGTTTCGACAATGGTACCTGTTCGAAATCGGCGACGCGGCACAAGTTCCGCTGCCGCCGGTGCCAGTCCCAAACCCAATGTCCTGGCGGGGGGGGGGGCAGACGGCATGGAAAATTATTGGTGACAATGCGATTGTGAAGGCACAAGCAAGCAGGATGGTGGGTCTTAGTCTTGGTCAATGGAGTCTCTCATACGGGCATTGTTTGCATGTTTGTTTACTGGAAGCCAGCACATATATGCCTGGGAAACGGTCAGCGATGACTCCAAGATATCCAGCAGAGAAACTAAATCCTAACCTGCTGTCGGAAACACCCTACTAGACAGCCACACATGTGCTACGTTGAGCACGTCTATCACCGGCCATGCCGCCACTGGGGGCGCGATCAGTTTGTTGGTGACCCGTGCTGCAGGTCTCGGTTTGCCAACGGCCATCCTATAGCATGCACCTATGCAGAGAAGATGGGGTCGGTTAACAGTAATGAGCTTTGTTCGGACTGTAGGTACCGGCTAGCCGGTGGAGGGGCATTGCGACCGTTTGCTGGTGTTGCTGTGGTCCCGCAGGCTAGGATTGACGAGAAGCTGTACGGAAAGCTGGATGGAACATGACGCCGCCACTGCAAAACATATCGAATAACGGGCATGGCTTCTATCAGCTTGAATCATGGTACGCCGCATCTCCCACCAGACAACCTCGGATCTCTCTGGCTAAGCGCTCGGTGCTGGTGCCTCTTGAACAAGTAAACGGGCATGGATCCATCATCTTGATACACACTCGGCAGTCCGAGGCGAGGAAGAGCAACAAGAGTGTGGAGAAGGTGCCATAACCACTGAGAAGGACCAGAAATCGAGGATATACACTGGAAGAGGTTCAAGTCGAATGTCACGAAGTCGTAGCAAGGTGAGGGGACAGGGCTTGGCATATGGGATGTGGCCAATCAGAGGCTGCCATGAGGTAACAACAACTGGATGCTCTTTCCTTTGGGGGACAGCGCGGTAGTTGGCCATCGAAAATGAGGCCGATGGTCATGGGGTTGGCCGAATGTAGTATTAGAGACATTTATCTATGTTGTTGTTCAAATGCGGGGTCTGCATGGCCTTTTCTTAGGTGTCGTGATGTTCACCGTTTGTTGCTCCATGGTAGATATATAACACGCTTTCGCCATTTGCTTGCACGTGACATACACCCACGTGCTGTTCAACACAAGTGACCTAGGACGACGAGTGGAAGCCGTTGGGCCTCGTAGTATTTTTTTTCTTGTTTCCTGGCTCGACCGTTGACACCAACAAGCCAACGGGCAGTAGACAGCTTGTTGCAGCGAATCCCGTCGTCTGTCTTGCAGCCAACTGGTAGGCAGAGGATGGTACGAAGGGTGGCTGAGTGACGTATGGTCCGCCAAAAAGAGACAATCTACTATAAAACATACTTCCGGGGTCAAACAATAAGGCGCCCAACTCAGTCATGGGCAAACAGCAGAAGAACCAACGCAATGGTGGCCAGCACCGGCCACTGGCACACACGCACACACACACACACACATACATGCGCCATATGTCTTCAGGTGATTTGGCTTGTTGGACGAGCCCCTGAGATTAGCGAATACGGTGCGATGACTCGGATGTGTACAGGCTCCTACCAGGTCGCTGGGTCAGACGGGCTGCGTCGTCGAGGTAACAAGACAATCGAGGCGTACGCGCGAGTTTCGTATACGCTCACAGCCAGACATTGGCAGCGTGCGTCGGGACCGAACGTGGTGGTGGAGCAAAGCTGCAGGTACAGCGAAGGGTCGGAAATTTGCCGGATGGTGCGACAAGTCCACATGCACATGCGCATGCGCAGCTGGATACTTGGCCGTGATGCGCTGCGGCTGTACTGCGGCCTTGCCCAATCCGCCAGGCCGTCGAGATGGGCATGGCCTGACCGGACAGATGGCGGAGAGCAGTGAGAGAATATGGCAATAAAGTATGAATGCCATATTCGTCTACAAGGGGGAAACAGGTCAGATCTAGCAATAGCACTAGATGCAGTAAGGAGTTTTCAGGGCACGGCCGATGCGGCTAGGCGTGGGCCATGCAGGGATGCGCGAGCGTTCTCTTGTACCCACGTAAGTACACAGTACTCAAGTATAAGTACTAGCAGTGGTGGCATGGCGCCATTGCAACATGGCCGCAGCTACAGCACACGGACTCGTGCGGTTGACCATGCAACATGAGCTCGCCATTGTTGCTCGTACTCGTCTTTGTCCGTCGATGCGGCCGAGGCTATGATTCAGGCGTTGGAGCTACGAGAGAGACAAAGGTGGTCGTGGTTCGGTACCAGCGGTGCCCGCTAAGGGCCCAGCCTAGCGAACACCACGATCGCCGTCTAGGATCCCTATCACGAGCCGGAACAAGCCCCCCGGACTAGACGCTTTATCTGATACTGTCCAATCTCCCCCTCCCTTCCACTGCCTCGCTCCCCTTCTCGTCCTGCCATCCGCCTCTCTGAGCATTGACGAGGCTTGCCTGCCGCCATGAAGCGCTGACGGGCCCTCTCTGCATCGTCATACGTCTAGTCCTGCACCCTCTTCCTAGCGTCACCCCGACGCTTTTCTTCCTCGACCCGCGCCACAGCCAGGGTCGCGGACGAAAACACCTTCCGACGACCCTTTCCTATCCAATTGCCCACCCCCGCCCGCATCGCTGACGACCTTTTCTTTTGTGTTTCGCAGCGACGTGCTGCAGACGCCCGACTGCGCCATGCATAGACATACAATGTCTGAGACGGCCGCCATGCCCTCGTCGCGCTCCAGCAGAACACACAGCTTCAGTAGTGAGCGCTCTCCTTCCCTGTGCAGCTCCGTCACCTTCCAGATGCCCACCACCGTCAGACCCGCGCCCGCCTACATTGCTGCATCGGTAGCTTCGCAAACCGTCACCGACCACCAGAATGCCCAGCTACGGGACGAAGATGCAGACGGCGAAGAGCTGCAGAACGCCATCTTCTCCGAGCAGGCATTGGCCCTCCTCAATGGCTTTCTCGACCATCTCCTCTTCGCCTTTCTCTCTTCTGCCAAAGCCCCGTCTCTGGCAGCCATCCGCCCAGCTATACTCGATGTCCTCAAGCCGCGCCTTGCCCGCGAGGCCATAGAATACGCCGACGAGGAGCTACAGGGCTTACTGGCTGCCGAGGATGACGACGAGTCGCCTACGCACAACACCAAGGCCAATGGCGCATGGGATGTAGAAAAGGTGTGGAAGCGCACCCGCCTGCGCATCATGGTCTACACACGCTTGGGCGAATTGGAGGATGAGGACGAGGAAAGGTATGTCCAGCAGGAGCGCGGGCTCAGCATGGACGAGGACGAGGATGATGAAGCTGGCCTGGTGTCATGGGCAGCTGCCATCTTCCTGACCTCGGTCATGGAGTTCATCGCTGAACAGCTGCTCCTTGTCTCTGGATCCGCAGCTTTTGCGCGCATGGAGTCGCGGATACAAAAGCTGTCCCAGCAAATGGAGCAACACGAAGAACAGTCTATCATCGAACGCTTGACCATAGAGGAGCCTGATGTAGAGAAGATTGCACTCAACTCTGCTTTGGGAAGGATCTGGAGGACGTGGAAGAAGCGTGTGCGGTCTCCCATCATGCCCCTTACCCCCATACGGCGGATGCGTTCCACCTCAAGCTACATGAGCTTGCCCATGCGAAAGTCAAGCCGTGACACAATCAATACGGTGCATAGCGGCCACGAGCTCCTGCCCGAGCACCAACCTACCGAGACGGACATTGCAGCCAATATACCTCTTCCAATGGGCAACAATGACATCAACGAGATTGAAGTGCCTGGCTTGGCGCCTACATACGAGGACGAAGACGAAAACACGGACGCTACACCATATTCACAAACGCGACGACCTTCGAGTGCCATGATTTCCTCTTCAGCCATACCAGCCAAGAAGATTAAGAAAGCGCGCCCTGTTTCTCTGCCCCTCTCGCAACTACCAGCATTCGTTGTTCCCACTGGGCCTATTGATGAAGATGAGCAATCCATCCATACTTCAATTGAAAGCGAGCCAGCCGATGACGAAATTCACAACGACTCATCTAAGCAACAGCACTCGGTGCCATCTCCAAGAGACGAATCGCATGAGCATGAACATGATGCCTCGATGGTGGCATTTGCAGCAGCTACTGGCCTGGGCTTTAGAATGAGTACTCCCGAACCCGCTGACGTCCAGGGAAAAAACCCGGATGGTCTTGGCGTGATCAACGATATCAGCCCCAAGAGTGTGGGAAAGGTCATGAGCTCCAAGAGAATGTCCATAGAACGACCGGGGCCTCCGGGCTTGGTGCGCACATTTTCAGCTCGCAGTTCTACCCGCACTTCGAGCATCAAGTCTCCAATCCACACGCCTGCACTGACACCAAAAGCAATCACTCACGCAGAAGGAAAATCATATCTAGACGACGATTTATCTGAAGAGGAGCCCGAAAAGCCCCAGGCAATTGGTGTTGCACGCACTACTAACAATGCTATCCGATCAACACCCACTACTCCAGACGAGATGGCTCGTGAACCCAGCAGACCACCTGCTAGGGGAGCTTATGTAGAAGTCCAGCCTCGTACCTCTACTCCGACATCGCTGCAGAGCCGCAACAATTCTTCGCCCGATGACAAGTATGCGGGAGGAGAGCGTCTAGTAATTCGAAAAGACATTGGAAGGAAGCCACACAGCAATGGAGATGTCACATCCAGCCCCATTCAGCACGAGAGTCCCACCAGCGCCCCACGGAGGCAGGATGGCCTTCGTTCCCCATCCCTCGCCTCGTCGTTGCCTGCTTTGCATGAGGTGGAGAGTAATCCAACGCAGCCCCTCGAGAAGGCCGGCTCTCTACGTAACCGCAAATCCAGTTCTCCCACTTACGAAGAATCGAAACGCGACTCCACCTCCACAAATCAAGACCAGCCCATACAAGTGCCTGATCGAAGACTGCAACGCATATCGACTGGAGAATCTATCCGTTCCCAGAGTGCACCTTCTGAAAAATCTCCCTCAGACAATATGTCATTAAAGCGAGGCGCTTCGACATCCTCTTCTCTGAAGAAGCAGGTTGTCTACCCTGTGACTTCTAGCGGACGGGATTCCGTCTCTAGCTACCGTTCGCGAGGCTTGAGCGGACGCATGTCAGAGGAAGATCGGACACGTGAGTTTGATTCTTTGATCAAGGGACAGGAGACGGTCAAGTTCACGTTGACACCACAAAACATGCGAGACCTCGATGTAAGTCACAAACACTGTTTCCTTTTCAACCAACTAACAACAAGCAGGAACCTCCCCCACATCAGCCTGTGCAGCATCGCTCTTCATCTTCATCTTCCGCAAAGCCATACCCTCGTGCCCATCCTGACGAAAAGTCTTACGGCACTGCAAACTTGCCCAACACGACTGCACCTAGGGCAAAGTCATCTAATGGGTCCCACCACAGGCCATCGCCTAGCCGCAATGTGGTCACCAGACCGCTTGCAAGAGACCCAAAGATCGAGTCAGAATCGATGCGCGACTTTGCCGACTTCATCCGATCGACTGGCCCTTCGCCCGGCCAGGAGAAGCCTGTGCAACCTTTTGTTAGCATGAATGGACAGAATCCAAGCTCCAAGGCTAGCAACATTTCATCATCTTCACTCGGCCGGAAGCTATCTACCAGACGATCATCTTCTGTTAACGGGAATTCTGCAAAAGCACGGGCCAACATGGAGCCACGCAGTCCGGCAGGCCTGAGCACGGGCAATGGCGACTTGATTGACTTTATCAGACAAGGACCTCCGGATGCGAATAATGGGCAACCTAGAATTCCTCGGAGCGTTGCCCCCTTCCGCAGCACCGTAGATTCTGATCAGTTTGACAGCATGCTGGAAGGCCACGGCAATGTTGAATCAGCGTATGGCTCTGCAACATCGACGCTAGAGTCGAAGAACAGTGCCCAGACCATCAATTCTCGAACTGGTCTCATTGCATCCCCTGGTGTTGTGCAGCCGGCCTATTCCAATACGCCAAAGCAGCTGAGCGGAAGCATGTCAGCCTCCAATGATGAGCCCCAAGTCACGCGAACGAGGCGGCGCATCAAGGATCCATATGCGATTGACCTCTCCGACGAGGACGAAGATGACGATGAAGACGAAGATCAGCTCACTGCACTTCCACCTAGCGGAACGCAAACACCCAGACAGGCTCCGGCACAGCCACCACGACAAGCTGCACCGAGACAGGAGAGTCTGATGGATTTCCTCAATGCCATGGAACCCCCATCGGTCAGTAAACCTCAGCCTTTTATGCTGAGTGAGGAGACTATTGCTGCTGCACGCGCGCGTGCAAATTCCGCGAAATCACAGCCATACAATGGCCATGGTAGCGCGCATCCTGGCTCGTTGACCTCAACATCAATTACTTCAGATGCCGCACGTTCATACAAACCTCGCCTACAAGCAAGGGCACCCGCATCTGGTGACGCCCGCGGTGGAGGCGCACGCACAGGCACGAGCGACCTAGCCGATTTCCTCATGAACTCTGGACCACCAGAGCCACCAGTCATTCGTGCTCCGCCAGTCAAGGAAGAGAAGAAGAGCAGAAAGTTTTGGCGCAGCAAAAAGACGTATGGTGATTTGCCGTAATCATCATACTATTGTGACACGAGTGGAACACGAGACATACGGCTTGCTTTTCTTTTTCACATCCCTTCAAATCATTCGCTAGATAGATTTATTTCATACTTTATTTTTTTCAAAGAAAGAGAAGGAAAGAGGAGGCAAGGGGACGATTACGGATTGTTGTTTCTGAATGGACTTTCTGAACGGACGATGGCTTCTCGATACCCACTTTTTGCATGTCATATTCATGCTAACACGGAGTTTGAGTTTATTCAATGTTGTCAGCATGGGTCGAGATTGGAATTCGATAGGTTTCGTAGCGCTGATCTTGAATGTAACAATACCCACCCAATAGCGACTTTTCTACTTGCCAATACACAGGCGTAATCTTTAGGGTCTCTGGGAATAGCCTGGTAAGTTATTGCCGAGCCCGCATGACTCGCCTCGGCTCCCACTTCCCCAGATCCCCCCGGCTACATCCGCAAACTGTATCCTTGTGTACAATAAAAGCTGTCTCAGAACACATCCAAACATGTCATCGTACACGTACGACCACTCGCCGAGCAATGTTGAGAGTTTACTCGCAGAACTGCGTAAACATGGTATTGAATACACGCTTGACACTCACGAGCGCGATGCCAAAGCCAACACCACGCACTCGCCCGCAGCACCTCACGAGACACCGTTAGCGGTTCTTTTCCCCACTTCAACACAGCAGACATCAATCATCCTCAAATCATGCAACGATCGGCTGATCGCTGTGACGTCATTCTCTGGTGGAACGAGTTTCGGCGGTGCACTCACGGCGAGCCGTAATGGCGTATGCGTCAGTTTTGAGTGCATGAAAGAGATTATCGCGGTGCATGAGGACGATATGGATGTTGTTGTGCAGCCGGGGCTGGGATGGATGGATTTGAATGAAAAGTTGGAAAGTAAAGGCTTGTTTTTCCCTGTGGATCCTGCGCCTGGGGCGAAGATTGGGGGGATGGTGAGTTCTCTCTCTCTTACCTCTTCTCGTTTTCCTCGATGTTGGAAAAGCTGTGATATGCTAAGATATAAAGGGATAATCTAGATAGCAATGTCCTGCTCAGGCACAAACGCCTACCGCTACGGCACCATGAAAGAAAACGTCATTTCCCTCACTTGCGTGCTGGCCTCCGGCCGCATAGTAAAAACCCATAATCGGCCCCGCAAGTCCTCTGCAGGGTACGACCTCACTCACCTTCTCATCGGTTCTGAAGGCACCCTCGGCCTCGTCACAGAAGCCGTGCTGCGCCTTTCCCCCCTCCCCAAGAACCTGCACGTGGGCCTCGCCATGTTCCCCTCGTTCCAGTCCGGCGTGGATTTCGTAGTCGAACTCCAGAAAACAGGGCACGTGCTGGAAGCCCTGGAGCTAGCAGACGGCCCGCAAATGCAGTGTGTCAATGTCTCGCGGCTATCTAGCATCACGTGGGCCGAGATCCCTACTTTGTTCTTCAAAATCGCGGGTCCATCGATCGAGCTTGTGCGGGAGCAACAGCGTATCGTGACCGAATTGTGTCGCAAGTATTCCGCGAGTAGGTTCCAAATCGCATCGCAAGAGACGCATGGGGAGAGCGCAAGTGCGATTTGGCAAGCGCGGAAATGCATGGGACAAGCACTTGTTTGTATGAAGAAGAGTCCCGAGGATTTGTTTCTGCATTCTGACTGCGCGGTTCCTATATCTAAACTTTCAGATCTTGTTCAGGGCACGCAGGCACTCATCTCAAAGGCTGCTGCTGCGACGGGGAATCAGGGAGGTTGGTTCTGTGCTAATGTTGGACATGTCGGGGATGGCAATGTGCATTCTTCGATTGTTTGTCTTGCGGCTGATCGCCGGGCTGCGGAGGCGGTGTTGAGGGATGTGGCGAGGTTGGCACTGAGTCTTGAAGGTACAATCACGGGGGAACATGGTGTTGGATTGGAGTTGAGGGATGCATTAGAGGAGGAAGTAGGGATGAGTGGGGTGGAGAGTATGAGGGCTATCAAGGCGGCATGGGATCAGAAGGGGATATTGAATCCAGACAAGGTTTTTAGGCTTGAAGGCGGGAGGATGGAGAGACTTTGATCCATGTGGCTGTTAGGATCATGGTGGGCGTTTTTTCTTGAGGTATGGCAACTTTGTGTTTCGAGTGTCTGATTGGCAGTTGATGGAATTTCTGGAACAGGAGCTGACAAGACTGGCAGATCGCATACTTAGCATCGACTCAGGGAGTCTAGCGTAGATTTCTAAGCAACAACCATATATAGGTGTAAGGTCGCCGATGTCCACTGCATACAAAGGATGCAGAAAGCTTTCATGCGATTAGTATTACATGCTCCTCAGCCTTGAATAGGAAACGTATGTCAATAAACTAATGTAAGTCCAGGCTCGACGAATATCCCTGTACACCCGCGTTACTCACGTTCAAAAAACCCAGCCCCAATCGAATTGCACTGCCAAATCTGGCCGTTAGTCTTCCCAGCCCTTCATCTCGCATTATCTGCACCGTTTTTTCCTTCTTTGGTATAGCATACAAGACTTAATATCGGTTGCGGTAGTCCCAACGGCTTTGCACCTAGTTCGTCCTCAGCATTCTTATCCCTGCATCAAGCCCTGGTTTTTCCACCTCCACAACCGCTATTTCCTTTTCAGGCTGAACACCGACGGTCCAATTATTCTCCCTTCATGGCGAGCCGCAACGACGACACTTTAAGAGTGCTAAGGCTGGTTGCCTTAACCAGAGTCTTTTCCTACTCACCCCCGCAAATTATCATGCAATCGCTTGCTAGTTTTTGCATGTGTAACCAGGCGCCTCTGGACTAGCAAAGAAAAGGTAAGAGGGAGAGCGTCCATGCAGCCTTGATCGATGTTCAAAAGATGGGAAATTGTCCTCTCTAGCATTACTACTACCTACAGAAAAAAAAAGCCAAGCAAACAAGTGGCGGAGATGAGCCAAGTCCCCGGGGCATGCAGAGCGTTAACTCCATCCTTGCTTTAACAGCCCGCTTGGCACACAGCCGCACTTGGATCGATTCGAAGCCGATCCTCCGCGACCAGTAATAGACCTGGAGTTGTTAAGAGTAAATGATCTCGACCGGATACCCGATGCTTGGGTCTACCCGAGTCTGCCAATAGATGAGGGTTTCCTCAAACGATTTGTTATCGAATGCAGTGGCGATCCGTCAAGCCACTACATACCTATGCTGAGTCATGCATACAGGTGCGCCTTTGGGTGCTTGTGTAATTGGCATCTTTCCGCACTTAACGCTAGAGGTACGACATTGGCGTGCATGTGACTACATTGGCGTGCATGGTCGGCCCTCCTAGACTAAACATCTCGCTAGAATGTAAGACGCCTTACATTTGGTAATTGCACGCCCATCTCCCATTAAGGTAGCATACCGTATACGATTTTTGCTTCCGTGCCTTAGGAAGATCGTAGGATGCATCGTGAACTCGACACCATGTCAGCAAGTGGCGTATATAAAAGGAGAGGCACCGCTTTTGCTTAGATGGCCAGACGTGCTCTTTTCGTCTCCTTTGAGTTCTTGACGGTAACTTGTACTACCATCGCCCATCATGGTTAAGCTACAGGTCATCACTTCTGCTCTGAGCCTTGCCTCCTTGGCATTTGCAGCAGCACTGCCTGCTCCTCATGTCTCTACTTGCAAGAAGCCTGCCAAACGACTCGAATGGTGAGAAGAAACCCCTAGATAACCTCCATGAGTCGTATATTGACAGTAATTTCCACAGGAGACAAATGTCCACCAGCCAAAAACACAGCTACATCTCCGCCGTCCTCTGCCTCCAAAAGATCCCTTCAATCTCCGGGTTCCCCTATGCTAAAAACCGCTACGACGACTTCCAAGCCATCCACCACGATCAAGGCAACTACATCCACTGGGTCGGATTCTTCCTCCCCTGGCACCGCTACTTCGTCTGGGCCTACGAACAAACCCTCCGCAACGAATGCGGCTACAAAGGCGCCCAGCCCTACTGGGACTACACCCTCGACGCCGACCCGCAGAACCTAAACTCCACCCGCATCTACGAAACCGATATTTTCTCCCCGACCCTCGGCTTCGGCGGCAACGGCCCCAGAGTCATCCCCACGCCCGAGCAAAACCCCCTAGGCGTCAACAACACGGGAGGCGGCTGCATCCAAGACGGCCCCTTTGTCCCCAAGAACTTCATGCTGAATTTCCCCGGCCCCGAACCCCAGTGTCTCCGCCGCGACTTCAGTCCCAACCTGCTCAACCGTGGCGCCGACCCCAAAGTCGCAGAGAACATCCTCAGCAAAGACACCTACGTCGCATTCGACCGCGCGCTGCAGGGCGCCAAGAACTTCATCAACCCCAATATCCACGCCGCAGGCCACTTTGGCGTCGGCGGCGTATTCGGACAAGCGGGCGACGTGAAGAACTCGCCTGGCGAGCCGTTGTTCTGGCTGCACCACGCGTCGATTGATCGGCTGTGGTGGCTCTGGCAGCAGGGTAATCTTGCGACGAGGAATTTCGAGATCGGTGGCAATTTGGTGCCTGAGGTTTATGGGAATGAGACGGAGGTTACGCCCAAGTTTGAGATTCAGCTTGGGGCGGTGGCGGGGACGGTTGCGTTGGCCAAGTTGCTGGATGCGAGGGGGGAGGTGTTTTGTTACAGTTATTAGGTAGGACTGGGAGAGCTTAGTGGTAGGGTGTAAAAAAAATGAAGTGGTGATATCGAATGTAATCATGGAAATGTCCTTCTGTCTGATGACTTTTACTCAATTCCCCTTTTTCTTCCACATGACTGGCTTTCCATTGCGATATCTAACGTTTTTTCCTTCGTTGCCTTACAGTCACTTGACATTCAAGCAAAAAATAAAAACAGAAAGCGGAAAGAAAAGTATATCCCTATACTACAAACTAACCCGTAGGACCCGCTTTCGCATCCAACGCGATCAAAAAGCCCAGCTACATGCTTCTCCGACGCAGCTAAGATTGACCACCGCTCATGACTTCAACATCGCACTCCATTACCCATGACTCATGGTTTTCAGGCGACCCGGTAGCAGGAAATCTCAGCATTGCATTTATCCAGACACCCGGAATGAAAACATGCACATGCAACTTAATTCTAGATCCAGAGATCTATTCCGCATACAGGATTCTGCGCGGCTCATCAATCTTTTGCCACCAGATCCTATCTCTGATTTTTTTTTCTCCCGGTTGCCGACTGCGGGCTGGATATTGGGGTTGCCCGTACCCTTATCGTTGCGCGCATGGTGCAGGGTTCGGGGTGGGAAATCGGGTGTGCGATCCGGTTTGTAAGTACGGTCGGTTCAAAGATAGCGGGTAAAGCCGCTGTAGTAAGTGATGTTGATTCATTGGTAGGTTTTATAGGACCAGTTTTTTTTTTAGTTATGGTGAGCATTCAGTGCTTCCTACCATCATACTAGTTGCATCGGCCAGTATTCGCTCCACAGAATGGTCACGATTAATCCTTCTCGTCTCCTCGCTCGCTGTGGCATTTTTTCGCTAACACTCACTCTCCTTGCGCCAACAACCGCCATGAAAAGTATGCAAGGACCCAGTCAAGCGATACAAACGATACGACAAGTGTATGCACACGCAGATTTTCAGTGATGCAGATCCACGACAACAAAGCAGTTGAAAAATACAGTCATACTATTTTCTTCATTCAATTTTATAAGAGTCCCATTTCTGTATATTCTTACATTCACCTCCGTTACACATACCCCCATCTCATCCCTTCAACGCCTCAATATCCACAACCTCCTTAACTGCCTTGGTAGTAAGTACACACGGCCCCTCATCATCCACACAAACACTATCCTCAATCCTCATGCCGATACCACGCGCCCAAGCAGGCCACCGCTCATCGTCCGGAACGTAAATCCCCGGCTCAACCGTAACGCACATGCCCGTTTCCAATTTTCTGTCTCTACTAAGACCAGGACTATCGTGTACATCTAGACCGACGTAGTGACCGACGTGGTGGGGGAAAAGTGTTTGGATGCTATTTGGTTTCATGTCAAAGCCTAGATCTTTGAGGCCGGCGGCGAGGGCGTTGGTGGCTGTGTGGTGGAGTTGATCGAGGGTGAAATTTGACGAGGCGCGGCATAGCGAAACACATGTTCTTTGGACATTGAGGAGTAAGTTGTACAGATCTTTTTGAGCGGGGCTGAATTTCCCGGATACAGGCCAAGTGCGCGTGATGTCGGTTACGTAGCCGCCGTATTGCGCGCCAGCGTCTACAAGAACGAGGTCGTTGGGTTTTAGCAGCATGTCGTTGGATACGTAGTGTATTGTGTTTGCGTTGATGCCGCCGGCTACAACGGGGACGTAGGCTGGGCCGTCGCAGTTGTCTTGTTTAAACCAGTAGTCGAGGAAGGAGTCGAGATCCTTTTCTGCGGTGAAGGATTGCCGCATTGCGTCAGTGATGGCACGGCCAGAGTGTTGACCTGCATGGCGCATATTCTCGATTTCAGCCTCGCTCTTTATGACCCTAAGTTCATTCATAAGAGGACGCAAGGGCTTGATATTTGCTGGAGAGTCACGAAGAGGACTGTAAATGCCGCCGGTCCGCGAGGGTTCTGCACCAGCAAGATAGCGGGAAAGAAAGTTCTTCGAAATCCGGGATTGTGGAAGATCAGTGTATATGGTCTGCACGCGGTTCACGATCTCCGGGAGAAGACGAGGTAAGTCATAGACGCTACCACTAACATCGGCATTGAAGACGTCTTCTGCAGCCTCCACACCTGACCGTGGGCCCTCCCACGCCTCTGCACTGGGATCCTTGGGCCTGACATAAAGATGGAATGTATGCTCTCCATGCTCATGTTTCTCGATGATAGCCACGGCATCCTGCTCCTTGAACCCCGTCAGGTACAAAAAGTCTGGATCCTGGTGAAACTTGTAGAACACGGCACCCGAAGCAAACTTGAGTTCGTTGGCGGCGAGAATCGCAACAGAATTGGGCGCAAGGTCTTTGGCGAGGGCGACACGACGCTGGTAGTACTCTAACGCGGAGATTCCTGGGGTGACTGCAGAATGTGTTAGTACCAGCACAATGGATCAAAGGGTGGTCATCACCTTCCCCAGCCTTGAGTAGGTGTGGATGTGTCTCGTGCAGCGGCTGTCCGAATCGAAGCTGGGCAGCAGGTACTGCATTCACAGCAGTGCACGACCTCGTACTAGCAGTGGGCTGGCCATTGCGTAGCCCCCCAAAAGGTCTCGTGTTGCATCGGCAGCGCAGGCGCGTGGTGGGTCGCAGTAATCTGGCGACCAGAGTCATTGTGATATTAATGCAAAAGTCGGAGGCTCGGTGGTTCCTCCAAGTTGTCGGCGAATCAAAGTCTCGGGCGGCAGTGTCCCGAGCGCCGGCTGAGCGCAAACGTCGAGCGGCGGGCTGGAGCAGATGGGGATGGCCGCTAGCGGGTTGCATTCGGTGGGGCACAAAGCTTGGCTCGGTCTGACGTACTGCCCTGCATGCCACTTTTCCGCCTTCCCCGCAAACACGTCTGCCTTGCACGACTACGCCGCCTACATGATACGCCTACAAACCCCACGCCATCTGCGTGTAGATACAGAAACCCCTTGGAAGCCACCATAACCGCCGCCATCGTGTTATTTCCTCACATCATCAGAAGAATGGCCTTTTCGGCCGCCAGACCGAGCTTGGTCCCGCAGGAGGAGCTCGAGAGCTTCCAACAGCACTTGGCCAAGTCGACACGCATTCTCGCACTGCTAGGCGCGGGGCTATCAGCTTCATCAGGACTACCGACGTTCAGAGGCGCAGGCGGATTGTGGAGGACACACGATGCAACATCGCTAGCCACACCAGAGGCATTCGAGCGGGACCCGGCACTGGTATGGCAGTTCTACAGCTACCGGCGGCACATGGCGCTCAAAGCGAAGCCCAATGCCGCTCACTATGCGCTTGCCGAGCTGGCGCGCAAAAAGGACGAGTTTATCACGCTGAGCCAGAACGTCGATGGTGCGTGACGTCCTTACATCCCCTCGTCATATCTTCATAACTCACGGTAATTCCCACAGGCCTCTCCCCCCGTGCCCAGCACCCACCCGAGAAACTCAAGCTCCTCCACGGCTCGCTCTTCGACGTCAAATGCTCCGACTTCTTCTGCAAGCACTTTGGGCCCAACAACTTCACCGACCCCATTGTGCCCGCTCTCGCCATCCCCAGCGACGAGTCCGACCCCACGACCGATTCAGCCCTCGCCGCCCGCGAACTCGACATATCAGACATCAACGTAGACCTCCCTGAGCTTGACTACTCACACCTGCCCCGCTGCCCCGAATGCAAGCGCGGGCTATTGCGGCCCGGTGTCGTTTGGTTCGGTGAGGCCCTACCGAGATCCGTCATAGACGATGTGGATACTTTCATGTCAGATAAGCGAGGCATAGATCTCATAATGGTGATTGGTACATCTGCCAAGGTCTACCCCGCCGCGGGTTACGTCGACCTTGCGCGAGCAAAAGGCGCAAGGGTTGCCATTATCAACATGGATCTAAACGATGTACCTGCTAGCGGCCTGCACAAAGGCGATTGGTTCTTCCAGGGCGACGCAGCACAGATTGTGCCCGATTTGCTTCGAAACGTAATTGGAGATATTGATCCGGAAAAAATGGGCGACGCGGCCAGGGAAACTTGAATAAGAGGGGATACCCAGCTCGACATAGTAAATGAGGTATACCCTTGTTCAGGAGTTTTGGCAGTAAAGTGGTGCTTTGTTATTGTTGTTGTTGTTGTTTTGGCACGGGGGGTACGCGTGTCTTTGCTAGGGGTTACTAAGGTGTTAGTAGTGATATCACAATGGAAATGAAAGGCGACCAATTGCTCAACAGCACGTGTGTCCATGCAAGCACATGACTTGGATGGTGAGAATCATCTTTCCCCTCTCTGCTGATAATTTCGTACATTCATTGGATCTTCATCATTCAGGAGTAAAAGCAGTGGGGTGAGCCGAAGACGTCTCCCCAAACACCCACATCATGACACCATACTCTTACACAAAGGCAATTGGTGCTCACGGGTATCATATTGTCCTAGTATTTTCGCTGTTCCCAAGGAAATAAAATAAAATAAACACCTAGTTCTCGTCTGTCCATTCTATTAGCCGTCATAATCGTTTCAATACCCCCTTTTTGTGCGTCCAACTCTTGTATTCTCGTCAGTCGTGATCCTCTCAGGCATTATGCTGTAAGCCGAAATACTGCTGCTACACGTTACTCTACCAAACTGGTACCAATGTAGCGCCGTCGACCTGTTGCAAGTCCTTTTCCGTTTAACGTGGTTCACAAGCGAGCGCGCCACCCAAGCGAGCGCGCTACTTTGCACCGGCGCGTCAACGCCGATACCTTATCACGTAATATCTTAATAATATAGTACTTAAACTTCTTATACTAAATTAGATCTTTAGCTTACTCTTTTTAATTATTAATTTTAATATATTAAAAGCTAAAGACGTACTACTACTATCTATACTATTCTATAAAGAATACTTTAGCGTAGAGACGCTAGAACGTATTTCTAATATAACTATAAAGTAAATTTAAAGTATTTAAATAAGCTAGAAAAGAAGACTATTATTAAGTATATTCTTAAAGAGTCTATATAAGAATTTATTTCTATAAAAGCTAATAT